TTTTTTGGGGGGGTTAAATTGGAAAGTGGGGGGGGACCCATGCACTCCTTTTCTCCCCTTGTGTTGCTTCTGTTTGTATGGGTGTTGAAGGGTGCCAACGATATGTGGCTGGTTGGAGGGTGTCAGTGATATTTATGGTGCTTGGAGGGTGTTCCATATATGTGGATGGTTGGGGGTGTCATTCATATTTTTGTTAGTTAGGGGGTGTCACTGATATGTGGGTGGTTGCAGGGTGTCACTGATCATGTGAGAGTGGTTGGAGGGGGTCACTGATATTTTGGCTGATATGTGAGTGGTTGGGAGTGTCACTGATATGTGGATGGTTGGAGGGTGTCACTGATATTTTTGGTGGTTGGAAGGTGTCACTGATATGTGGGTGGAAGGAGGGTGTCACTGATATTTTTGGTGGTTGGAGAGTGTCACTGATAATAATATGTGAGTGGTTGAGGGGTGTCACTGATATATTTTTGGTGGTTGGAAGGTTCACTGATATGTGGATAGTTGGAGGGTGTCACTGGTGTGAGTGGTTGGAGGGTGTCACTGATATTTTTGGTGGTTGGAAGGTGTCACTGATACATGATATGTGGATAGTTGAAGGGCGTCACTGTTGTGAGTGGTTGGAGGGTGTTACTGATATGTGGGTGGTTGGACCCATGCTTTTCTTTTTTTCTTCCAGTGCTGTGTCTGTTTGCATGGGTGTTGAAGGAGGCCAATGATATGTGGGTGGTTGGAGGGTGTCACTGATAATTATGTGCGTAGTTGGAGAGGCCTTGTTTCTGTCTGTGTGGGTGGTTGGAGGGAGCCACTGGTTGTGTGGGTGGTTGGAAGGTTCATTGCTATATTATGCGTTGTTGGGGGGAGGAGGGCACTACTGATATGTCCTTCTTTTCTTTCTCTCTATTGTTTCTGTAGGTGCGGGTGGTTGGATGGTGTCACTGATAGGTCTTACTTTCTGTTCTTTCCCTTTGCTGTTTCTGACTGTGTGTGGTTGGTTGGAAGATGTCACTGGGTAGGTTCTGATTTTTTCTTCTCTAAATTGTTTATGTCTGTGCCGGTGGTCGAAGGGTATCACTGAGGATGTTCTGACTTGGAGGGTGTCACTATGTGGGTGGTTGGAGGGTTAGGGCTTCACTGGAAGGTTCTACTTAGTTCTACTTATTAAATTTTCGTTCCCTCTGTTGTTTGTGTCAGTGCGAGTGGTTGGGCAGTGTCACTGATAGCATCTACAGCCAAACAGTTTCGGACGACAACCCATTGTCGAAAAGTAAAGAGGAGCCATCTCAGACAGGTGGCGTCTTACACGCGTTCACAATAGTGAAAAAAAATACAAGGGATGGATAAGATAAGATAAGATAAGATACACATCTTTATTGTCCAGATATCTATTTATGGTCTAGCTGTTGTTTCACTACGTGTACAAAACGCGCGCACACACATACACACACACACACACACACACACACACACACACACACACACACACACACACAC